AAACACCGCTCAAGAGGATATGTCAAGAAGAACTTAAATTGTCGTTCTTGAGACGGCCATGACAAGGAAAGGTTGTTTTGTCTCGAGAAATCGCATAATCAATAGAGGAGTAAGAAGCATTAGAGTCCTCTCTAGAGTCCTATGGGAGATCAAAGCAACTACGCTTCTCCACATGACCAGGTAATAAAGCAGCCTCTAAAAAATTAGAAGCTTCTTCGATGCACTCGCATTTTAGATATCATATACTTAAATTGACGGAGAAGCCTCATAAGCTAAGTGAGTATAACGAAAATAGAGATCCATACGAACACATGCAACTCGTCAACAATCAATTCAAATACTTCAATGTTATCGCAACCTCTAAGTGTTAATTGTTCGCGTTAACTCTAGTTAGGTTAGTCAAGATATGATTCAACACTCTCCCGGATGGGAATATGAACATCCACAATTTATTTTCTATTTATTATTTTATAGAAGTCATTATTAAAACGAATGACCAATTTTTTTTCAAAGTGAATAAATTTATAATCATTAGCAGAGTTTTTAAATTTCAAAGTGAATATATATATATATAGACATCACTTTCTTTACAATTGTGTATAAATATTCAAAACTATTCAAACTTTATTTTATTTTAAGAAAAGAAAGAAAAATTGAGCCACCATGACCAAATCAGTAAATATGGCTAAGAATCATATGATTAACGAAAACTACCGGTCAATCTAAGAACTTTTTTTGACACAAACCCAAAATAAATTAGAAGAAAAATAAATAAATGAAGGAGATTTTTTAATGCACTATATTTTATTAAGACGCTCCGTGATAAGTCAAAAATATTTTTAGAATTTGAATACACATCTTTAAAAGTATCTCATGTACATATAATTCATTCGTTTTTAATCACTCGTTTTTAATCACGTCTCAATTTTATGATTAAATCTAATTTAAAAATGCATTTCTAAAATATATTTTCAAAGTTAACTGAGCAGTTGAATAATCAGATTCTTCAAACAGGTACTGGCACAGCCGCAACAAAAGAAAAAAAATGATGATGATGTTCCAGTTTGTCCCAGAAGAGACTTTTAATTTGAGTGTTATTGTGTGACATCTTGTGTTTTTTCAACAAAGAAAATCTTGATTTTCAATTTTGTATTTTAGCATATACTTTGTCATACACTTTAAACTGTCTGGATACTTGAATTTAATTTGTTTTACTTTGTCTAATTCAAATATTACTTATTTGCACTCGATTTCTACTAAATTTTATGTATTTTGATTTCTACTAAATTCTATGTATTTCAGGAAGTGACATGAGAATAAATTTTTTTTTAATTTTAAGTACAAATTATTTACATTAACAAAAGAGTATTTAAGTAACTAAATAATATTAATCTTTTATATTTTTATTTTTTATAAAATCATGATATGTCACATTCACTTTTAAATATTTTTCAATTAAATCACAATTAAATATTACATCCACTTATTTTTTCTCGATTCAAATTCCAAATATATTTTACATTTTTTTTCACACTTTCTCAATTTCATTTTAATTTTTTTTTTTCTATTTATTTATTATTACTATAAATACTAATTATCTATTTTTTAATTTTATCTTATAGACTATTAAGACCATCTTCAACGGTGGTTCTTCAAATTGGTTTGCCAACTTTACATTGAAATTGTCAACAAAAAGTTGTTCCAGCTGGTGAACGTTCCTTGCATAAGCAATGGTTCTTCATTTTTTTATATTATTAAAATAATTATTTAACTTGTTGGTTTTATTTTTTTTTTAACTTTTTTTATTTATTATAAATATAAGTTTGTTGCAAAAATTTATAACAATCCTATTTTCTCTCACTTTTATTTACTCTTTAATTTTAAATTTCTCTCTCACAATTTCATCATTTTATTCATAAATTATTATTTTCAATTTTATGTTTAATTTTAATTTTATGTTTAGTTTATATTTATAGTAATTAAAATTTAAATATTTAAATTATAATTTTAAATAAAATAAATTTAATATAAATAATATATTTAAGTAAAGTAGTGGGACCCAATATGGGTTCTTTGAAGTTGCACCATTGGAGTGAAAATTGAATAAGTTGTTTTAGAAGAGTGGGTCCCACAAAGAACCTAAAAATGGGTTGCACCATTGGAGGTGCTCTAAGACAGTATCTATTTTATTTTAATTAACCATTGTCTTAATTTAAAAAACAAAACCCTTATTTCTAACTATTTTTTTTAACCATCTCATAGTATTTTTTTTTCTTCTTGTTGTATCATTATTTAATACAATTAAATTTATATAATTATTGTTTATTTTATTTAAATAAATCATTTCAAATTTCACAGGTGTATTTAAATCCATTTTTCATATCGTATCAAATAATTTTTAATTTCACCTTATTATAATATACCCTTACAGGAAAGAAAAACTCAAATATGTTGTGTTGTACCAGCAGCTAAGCCTGTTTAAGAACTCGGAATTTCTGAATCAAGCGTAAATGCAGATTGTAAGGTATATGGCTAGTGTAAAGATTCAATCTATAGTTGGTTTGCTTTGGAATAATACATGGAGTAAAACGATTTCTATGGACATGGAGTAAAAAAATAGCATCAACAAAGAATTTAAATTCAATATTGAATCCGCCTGTCATTCATTTAGATTTTCCAAACAAATGACCAGGCTTTAACTATATATGGTGAGATTGTGATCGAAGTTTTCTATATATGGGCATGTCTAATGAGATCCAACACGGTGATTATACACAATAACTCTCTTCAAAAAGAAAAAGAAAGACAAGGCTTGAATCATAAACTTGCCCAAAATCTGCAATTACACCAAAGTAACAGAGGCATGGTAATCCATTGCCACTAAACAAGAAAACACAACTCCACTAACAGAAATATCTCACCTTACGATTCTCTTACAATTCCAAAGACTTCTACAAAACTGAATGATATTATGATATAGACAAATATACAAATCTAAGTTTAACATGCCTCTAACTATCTAAGTTATCATTTCGAATATAGAACAAGACATTCTCCTATACATATATCACTTCATGATCCTCAAAACTAAAGTGACACATAAAATATATATAAATCTTACTTCAGCATGCCTTTGATGGATATGAATTATCATTCAGAAATTCAAATACTGAACAGAAATTCAAAGACAGGTACGTTCACCTCAAACGTCGACAAGGACTATAACTGTTGCTGTTAGCTAGATTTGTATATTACAATGCAAAGACAGATAATAGTCTCATCCGCCAGACAGAAATCATAGTAAATTTGGAAGAAACAACAATGAGATATATAGAAATTTCAACTACAAAAATACAGTGGAGGGATTTACAAAAAATTAACTTCAATTAAGAATGCAAGTACTTTAAATGTCATCATTTCTCAAGCCGACAAATAAAAGAACTCTTCTAGTTATAACTAGTGAATCATGTCCTTTCAACAAAAGTTTAGTACTGTAACTCTTAAAGCTTGATCTGAAGATAACTAGAGCATTCATAAAATTGACCACAGATTTTGAATTGAAATAAAAACCAAGAAAATACTGGGAATTCAAATTTCAAACCTTAATCTGGTAGTTAAATCCCACACATATTTAGCTAACAAGGCATGTTCTATTTCATATTCAATTTTCCTAAATTTGACATTATACTTCGTCAAATAAAACCGTCCATAACCTTGAGAATATATTTGCTGATAAATTTTGAGTAATAAAACAGTATTCAGGAGAAGCATCATTCAAAAAAGTCTATCTCACCCCTAAATCATACTTGGACCTAGAACTTTCCATGTTCAAGTATCTTAATTTACAACTAGGGTGTTCCCTTGACAATTGACATCTTAAGATAAAAAAAGAAACATACAAAATGAATACAAAATGAAACTGGTAGTAACCTTCATGAGAATTTTGAACAGAAATGCCAACATTTCAACAGGCATTTCAACAGGGAACTAAACAAATAAGTCACAGACTATATAGAAGGCCTAGAAGTGCACAACTAAGAACGTGTATTATGCTAAATATATACCGAAAGAGAATTTCCAAGCAGGATAACTATCACAATGGCTAAAATCAATAATTGCTTAGTCTGAATTTTACAAGCAGATTAAGTAAACAACCAAAACTGGAAATAAGAATGCAGTGATAGAGATAGTATACAGAATATATCTCTTTTGTTATTACAATCCATAAAATCAAGACAATGAAAGTAATCTTGACACACCTATCATGAGGTGCAAAGCCAGTACAATGTCCCCATTCAGAAATCACCTGGAATATACAAAAACAAAATGCCCCATTATCATCAGAATCAGTAAATGTATATATTCATGGCTAAGATCATGTGATAATCATATAATTATACAAAATTGCATCAACTAGATTAACCAGATATTACTCATTGAATCACTGTTCCCTAATTCAAGTGATGGAAGGATTATGCAATTAAACGTGTTTATGACCACGGTCTATTTCATTGTTAATTTGTAAGCCATAAGGCTTTCAATAACAGTTGGATTGCGTAAAGGTTTTCGCGATTTTGCACCGTACAGGTAACACTGATTGGTGGTTGTCGCGGTTTCGCTCATTACAGGTGCTGGGACACTTATTGTTGTTTGTCGCGGTGTGAATTAACCACAATTTGTTCTTTAACCTAAAAAAAGTGAATAACGGTATCGGTATAGGCATCTGCCGATACCGTTTTGTCACGGCCGTTTCCACGGTGGCGGACAGTTTTCTATTAACAGCGGCATAAGAAAGCATCACAACAACTAACAAGAGTATAATCTCATAAAATTAAAGAACATTTCAACATCTCCGATACAAAAATATCGTCAATTACTTCATACACTGATTTTATAAAATAAAAAACTTAGGTAATCTAATTTTTCTATGCTGATTAATAACAAAACACAGCGCAACAAACAATAATTAATTGAAAAATTACGATTCGGTAAAGTGAGGGTTACCTCTTGTGATGCTGAACGAATTTCGAATTCTTAGCGTCTTCCTCTGTAAAAAAAAATTGACGGCAAAATTAGGTTAACAAAATAAAAATAAAAAAAATTCAACGAACAAAAAAAATGGAGAAAACGAACTAGACGAGGAGCGCGATTTACCAGTAAGACCGAGAGAGAACTTGGTGATTATGGTTCCGGTGATTGCGAATCCAACTACGAACGGCCAGTTCTTTTTCCATTCTCGCCTGAAGAAAACTGGCCATGGATCGAACTTTCTCATTTTTCGGATTTTCGATGGTAATGTTATGCGAAAATGGATGCGCCTCAGTGGCTACTTGCAGTTGCAGCTCCTTGTTTGTTCGTTCTCCGTCATAGCAGAGGTGATGGATTCCGTTATAAAAGGTGTCCATCTACACGGGCCCAATACAAACTTAATTGGGCCTTCGAACAATGGGCCTCACTCAACCTTAATGGGTCGTTAACTCTCATTACCATATAATATGGAGATTTCTTAATGCCCTATATGGTTTATTAACACACCTCATAAAAATACAATAATACTCTTAAATTTCGAAGATAAATCTTAAGAAGATGTAGCTTCAAATGTTGTTTGTTCAAACATACAATAATACAACAGCACTATACATTTTTGAATTAGGCCCTAAGTCAATGTGAAAAAAATTACGAAGATGTTAGCTTCAAATGTTGTTTGTTCAAAATTGTGTCATAACTCTTTCACATTCCTCACATTCAAGATCTAGTTGTATACTTTGGATGGTTGGCTTGCGATTCATGTATGACGTTTCCTCGTCTTCCTTAGTGCGTCATGCAGGAGTTCGGCTACATGCAGTACATTCCTAGAGACCCTTTTGTGTTTGTTGCTCCCACTATGACACATAGATATATGGATGTTATGTTTTATGATTATCTTAATCATGTGGTATTGGAGGAGACACAGAGTACTATAGCTGAGAGCTACTAAAGTTACATAGACGTTTAAATTTTGTGGTTCTTCAGGGTATCACATCCTTATATGATACAGGATGCTCTAAGAGATCGACCGAGGTCGGCTCATCAGAAGATACTAAATGGGGACCAGGCTAGGCAGATCATGTTGTTGATGTGTTTTCTAGGTGTTGTTGTATCATGGAGATTGAACATATGGGTATTTACATATGACTTTTTCTTGATGGCTCTGAGGCAAAAAACGTTGTAGATTCCATGATGACGGAGGAGCAAAAGGCATTGCAGTACAAGAGGCAGCGTCTGAACAGGTGGTCCTGAGTCTGAGTATGTCATACATGGTAGTTTAAAGTAATTGTACTTTGGATTTATTCTCGATTGTATTTTATTTTGACTTATGTAGTGTTATGTTTGCAAATAACCTTGTCTAGGGCGACAACTTAGGACCTCCCTAGGAAAAGGCGAAGACACGAGGTCGCCCGAAGGGAGGTATCACCTCACCCTTAAAGTTTCCTCACCCAAGAGAGGGAAAAAACGAGGGATAAAATGTCCCTTGGGAAAAGATATTGACCCACATTCCCCTTAGAAATAAGGATTCAACGGTCCATTATTTGACTAAGTGGACAATGGCCATTTCCAATAAACCATAGGTCTTAGAGACCCTTATAAATAACTCATCCCACATGGGGGGAAATGATAGGCTCTCAAGTGATACACACTTGCTACTACCCATTACTAATCAGAGATCACTTCGTTCCTAGTAGTCTTAACACTGTCAATCTAATTGCCCGCCTATAATCCAGCAGCGTCGGCCGCCAACAGGGCCTCTCACCTTACGTTAGTTGGTCCTTTAAACATCCTCAGAAACCAACATATAGGCACTACTACAAAATGGACCTTTTTTCACACTAAACTACAACAACGTAGCTGTTAATTGTGGTAATACCTTATTTTTGGACGCACTTTGTTTATTTATATTTATGAAAATACATTGCAGTACGGTTAAACTAATAAACCATGATTATACATTTATGGAGTGACATGGTTCGAATCCCAGCTCCAACAATTTTCTAATTTTTCATTACAATTCATGTTCTCCTTGTAATTATAATATATAAATTAAAATACCTATCGCCACAGTTGTTAATGTGAACCATTGTGAAAGTCATTACATTTCAGCACGTTTTTGAAATACAATTGTGGTGAAATTGTTTACTCATATGTAATATAAGTAAATCAGCTCTCGCTTTTTGACAGTATCGACGTATCTATCATAACAAAACCCTAACACACATTTTCTCTCTTCCTCTTCGTCATTAGCTCTTGCTTCATACATAAAGTATTTTTTTCTTCCTTGTTCTTTCTTTTTCGTGTATGTTGTTTTTATGTTTCACGTGATTTTCTTTTTGTTCAAGAGTTTATATTTTTTTGTATCTTGTTTTTGTTGTATGTTATTCTGAAAACGAGTTTCTTTTCTTGTTCTGATTTCAAATCCTTCTCTCAACATGAGTAGTGGGAAAAATTAACTTATCCACGAGATTTAGGTTACAAAGGAGGTTTTTGATATGGTGGTTTATAGTTGAACAAAGCCAAGGAAGCTGTATCTGTTATAGATCATATTATTGTTAATGAACCGTCTGATGGAACCGACTATAAGAAGATTCATTTGAAGAATCTTAACCCTGAAAAGATGAGGAAGGTATAAGCTATTATGAATGACCTAATGAATCTATATGTAACTGATTTTGAATCAGATGAAGACCTTGAGAACTATGAAGACCTTGAGAATTGCAAAAATTCAACTAGGCATGAAGATTGAAGACCTTGTTATGTTTTACATGATTTGTTGTTGGTTGTTGTTATTGACAAGCTTTTGTACGTTGTGGTTGTTGATGCTTATTATGTTACAGTGTATTGCTAGTTTATGTTAACACGTTGCTTTTTATTGTGGCATGGTTTACTTCTTTTTTGGGTTAACAATGTATTTGTTGTTACTTGTTATGTTACAATGTTAATGTTAGTTATGTTTAGTTGTTGTTGCTTATTATGTCATACTGTACTACTTATTTATATTAACATGCTTATTTATATTAACATTCTTATTTATGTTAACATTCTCCTTTTTGTTGTGCCATGATTTACTTCCATGTCGGGTTAACAATGTGCTGCAGGTTGTTGTTGCTTGTTATGTTACAATGTTAGTGTTAGTATATATTTTCAAAACAGGTTAACATTATGAAAAGTATTTATATTTCGAAATCTGGTTCAAGAGAACTCATATTATGGGTGTGGTTCATAAATGGTTTGTTTTGCAATGGAGAAACAATACAAGAAGTATGAAGCAATTTTGGAAGCTTCATATGCCTTGTATTTTTTCTTCACGGCAACACAAAGTAGATCAACTTCAAATCATTCCATGAATCTTTTCAATAAAAGGTATGTTGTTGCCATTTTGTTGATGTATGTTGTTGTTGAGTTTATTATAATGTATGTAGATTGTTTGTTTCACTAACCCTTCATTAAACATGCATTCATTTAAAGTGATTTAGAAATAACAATCTAAAAATTAAGTTATATTTGAAATGTAACTTAGATCAAACATGTTTTTTCGAAATTGCATTCATCTTGTAATTCATCTATATCGCTCTTTAACACTTAGAACTTGGTTTATCACCCCAAATTCTTCAAAGCAACGATTCATTCTCTACTAGTTTATGTTGAAAAACATCAAATGTCTTGAGAAATTGAATCATTTTCATCGTTGTCATCTTAATAATCTTCATCGTTGACTAAAATAATGATGATGATAGCAATGATGATGATTTAGAACTAGTCAACATATTGATGCTTTGCAAAATAAACTAGGAATGAACTGTTGCTTTGAAGAGTTTAGGGCATTAAATCAATACCATGTGATAAGGAGCAAGAGGTGAATTATGGTATGAATGTAATTTGAAAAACAGTGGTTCGTTTAAATTGTTTTTTAAGAATAATTTAATTTTTCAAATTAGTATCTTCTAAATCAATTTTAATGGTTGTATACGTTTAGTGAGATGTAAGGAAAAACAAACAATCTACATATTTTATAATAAAATAATGGTACTTTTCACAACGGTTATCTTCTGTAATCATGGTGAATTAATTATATTCCAAATAAATTGTTGTTGTTGTTGATGGGTTTTAAACCTGTCACCTCTCTCTCTCTCTCTCTCTCTCTCTCTCTCTCTCTCTCTCTCTCTCTCTCTCTCTCTCTCTCTCTCTCTCTCTCTCTCTCTCTCTCTCTCTCTCTCTCTCTCTCTCTCTCTCTCTCTATATATATATATATATATATATATATATATATATATATATATATATATATATATATATATATATATATATATATATATATATATATATATATATATATATATATATATATATATATATATATATATATATATATATATATATATATATATATATATATATATATATATATATATATATATCTCACAATGGTTATGTAATATAACCGTTGTGATAGGTAGTGCGCTACCTAGCTTATAACCACACTCACACACCCGTCTCACACACCCGTCATAGAAATCATTATACATACAATCATACGCTACCTAACAACAGATGTGAAACTGTCATTATATATGTGTTGCACCCCAAATTTGTCCTACCTTTACATAGTTTCTAGTGCCACTTTATTTTGAATGAATAAAATGACACAATTGGCAAGAGACCGTGTGTAAGGAGTTGTGAGTGTGAGATTTTGAGAGTTCAAATTCCACCTTCTTCACTTTTTGTTTTGTTTCTTTTATTTTTATTCTAACTTTTCTATTTTCATAAAAAAAATAACAAAATAGTTTTTTTTATTATTTAATTATTATTTTCGTATTTTATTTAAATTATTTTTTAAAAAATATTATTTTTTCACTTTTTTTCATATTAATCATAAAAACATCCAAAAATCATAAAGTTAAAAATATTAGAAAAGATTTTATTTTTTTTATAATATTTTTAATGTTTAGTAAATAAATAGGGTTTTAAGTTTGTTTTAATTTGTTTAAATTTTATTTAGTTTTGACTAATTCTTTAAGTTGGGCTTTAAGGTGGGAATTAGGTTAGAGTTAACCCTAATTTGTTACCTATATAAACATGAGTTGCATTTGAGAAAGGGGAAGCAGACAAAAGAAAAAACGCCGGTCGTTCTCACAACTTATCAGAAGAAAGGAGGAACCCACGAACCCAGAAGGAGAAAAAAGGGACGGTTCTTTTGACTAATTCTTTAAGTTGGGCTTTAAGGTGGGCATTAGGTTAGAGTTA